TGTTGGGACTAAGCCAAGGTGTGCATTTAGAGAGGGTGTGCATTTACAGAGGGTGCACTTAGAGAGGTTAGACTGTATATGCATTCAACCTAATTGCAAAAAATATTGCTAGTTTTATCAGCATTATTTCAACTTGTAGCAAAAATCAAAAGCTTGTAAATTTTTTTATAGCTTTGTATATTTGGTGATGAGTCTTACGAACCTAGCAAAAAGAACAAGGTATCTTTTATTTTTTAAACACATTCTGTGAAACAAGGTGGTATTCTATAGCTAAGGTTTGCTTAGGTGTATCAGCTTTTGAAAGAGGTTTCCAGCACTGCATTGAGTTAAGTGAATCTGACAAAATCAACCACCCAGTAATAAAAAAAGATATTAAAACTATTATCAATGACAGATATCATTTTGCCAGTAATGATATATTGATAAAAGTTATTAAGCCTGTAGTTGATGTGATTGGAAAACTTGAATCACAAGATGCTACTTTGGCTGATATTTTCAAGGAATTGATTTATGTTTATCTTGAAATATCCAAGCTTGATATTCCAATTCCTGGCTTCAAAGCCCATGCACTAGCCATTATTAGCCAAAGAACAAGGGAATTTTCTGGAGATATTTATTTTGTCACCTTATTTCTCACCCCTATGTACAAGAAAATGGCTATATCAAAGTATATAGATGAAGACAATCTTCTGCGCATGTGTTTGGAATTAGCCAAGTGTTAGAAATTCAATAAAAAAGATACTACCCTACTTCATAAAGAAATACTTAACTACAAAAATAACAATCCTTTATTTCATCAAATTAACTTTGGCCCCCAACAATCACCTAGATCCTTTTGGACAAAATTTACTGGTAATTCACCTTTTCTTTACCAATTTGCTATAAAGATTTTTGCCATTGTTCCTCATGGAGCTGCCTGGAATGTTTTTTTTCTTCTTTGGGCCTTACTAAAACTAAATCAAGGAACCGTCTTTCTCCTAATACTCTTTCCAAACTTGGACAACTAAAAAATGAACTTAAAAAATATGTCTAAAAAAAAGAGTAAAGATAAGCAGTATTCTGTTTCAGCGGCAGATCTTTTGGAAGAGAATATTGATTTGTTTTTTGATGAAGAGGGCTATGATGAAGATCAAAATGATGAATTCAAAGGATAATCATAAATACCTTGGCATATAATTCGAACCATTATCATTAGATGCAGAAGGGGAGTTCTGCAATTCAGATTCAACCTAGAAAGGAATCACATCAATTAGAAATTGGTCATGAATATTAACAACTCACTTATTGCGAAGGTCATACTTTATCCTCGCCGTTAAATGTTTTTTTGGAGTCATCACTTAATTCCCGAAGTTTCTCGACAAATTTTGTTACCTTTACGCCAGTAGAATCTGTGAAGAAGGCGTTGATCTTGTCCACTGGATCCTGTAAAATACAAAACAGTATCATGAACATGACACAAAAATATAGCAGTAACGTTTAATATCTTTACTGATAAAAATACATACCTGTGCCTTTTTCTGATCCTTGTCTGATGACCCGGAAGCGAAGGTTTCAGAGTTTATAATTCCGCTAACAGTCCCACCTCCTATAAATGTCGGGTGGTGGACGTGAACTGAAGGCTCAACTGATTTACACTTATGAGAACGCTCCTTATCCCAATTTCTTGCCAGTTTGCGATCTGGTCGAGTACCCTGAATGAAAAATTTTCAGAAATAGTAATGTTCTCGATTAACGCGTCCATCTATTTTTCCACCCTGCTAGGTCGGTCGAAGCCTTGAACGTAAGATTCCTCGTAGGGAATATACGCCTCAGCAGGGCCAGTGTTAGATCGGTCGAAGCCTTGAACGTAAGACGACTCGTAGGTCGTATACGCTCCAACACTGGCTTCGTGGCTCGGTCGAAGCCTTGAATGTCAAAGGATTCGTAGATCCTAGACACACCACTTATTTTCTATCTGCATTTCTAAAAGAAGCTATTATACTCGCCTCTTTATATCTATCAAGCAGTTCCTTTGCTCTTTCGCGCCTGTGATCTGTCTCACAACTAGCTATAGTCTCGAGAGATCTAATATAACATGCTATCTTCTGTCCGAATGGTTCCAAATTACACTTATCCAAAAAATCACGAATATTCCATTGGGAATACGCGGTATCGAAATACTCATGTATTTTATTTGACATAGTCTTTCACGCAAATAGGACGTATTTTTTCCGAATTTATTACAAGAAATCATGTGAGCGGACACGTTCATGTGACTAGAAGTTGGAAAATGCAGATCAATTATAACACAATGAAGACTTTGATATTCTTCGGGTCATGTAATAAATGACTCCGATATTCTGATTACCTGGGGTTATTAAAAGACAGGATAAAAACAAATAAAGCAAGAGACGTCGTGTGCAGAAAAATAGATATTTTTATTCGTGATTGTATTTTCTCCGAATTTGCCCTGTACTTTATTTTATTAACATATTAATAAAATTGCTGATTTCGCATACATAATCAGTTTACTTTTGCATATGTATTTCGTGAATTTATTTTATTGTATTGTTATTGATGTATATATGATCGAGAATTTTTTTACGCAGTCATGTGTTTTGGAATTATTTATTTTTTGTGTTTACATAACATGTATCTCTGATTATGTTTCGATGAAAATATACATCTTCATGATAAAAGAATTGAATATATCCGTATTTTATATTAAAAATGGCAAACATACAATCTAAAGATGACTTGTTGAGAGAATTGAATTATAAGCTTGTAGCCGAGATTGATAAACTTAGGAAGGAGAATGCAGAAATACCTGAACTTAAAAAGAAATGTGCTGAAATTGAGGCTGAGAATATAAAATTAAAGCAGATTATAGAAGAAAATGCAGTGCTCAAGATCCGATTTGAAGAGCTAGAATAGAAACACCAAACAGATACTACCAAACTTACTGCTGAGAATACCGAGCTGAAAGATAGAGTCACGAAATTGGAACAGATACAGACTCTAGTCACTATTAATGACCAAAATGCATCTTCTACAAAAGATAAGAAATCAATTATTACTGATTCCACCCAGCTTCAGAAAGGTGAGTCTAAATATTTATTTGAATCTCCAACAGAGCCTGTGACATCCATAGCATCTTCACAAGATATTGTTGATGACGATTTGGCTAGCACCCTTGAATTCGTAGAAATGATACATAAAGAAAATGTTGCTAATGAAATAAGGCAACGCAATAGGGAAAAGAAACTTCATTGTGAAGCAATTTCTCAAGAGATACCTTCAAATTCCCAAAATATTGCACCCACTATTTCTTACGAGCAAAAGAAAGAACAAGGCTTAATTCAGGAAATATCTGCAGATAATAGCCAGGATGATGCATTCCCATCCACCCAAGATCATGACTCCATATCTCCGGAATATGCGACTGAAATTTTGCTGACCTCAGGTCAGGAAAAATCGAGCATCTTCCAAAATATCACCCACTTATATGAAAAAGCATGTGATGCGGAATATGAATCAATAAAAGCTAATCAGGCTGAAATTTTATGCTGGAGTAATTTTATTATAGTACTTGACAAAAGTCTTGATGAACTCATGGTTAGGGATAAAGTGAGTATGAAAAAAGCTAAAGGTCAAGTTTATGATTTTATTATTGCACAAAATCCTGGCATTAGGCACGAATCACTATATAAGAAAATTGAAAGAGCTAGAAAAATTTACAGGTTATTTGAAAAAATAGGTTTAGATAAAGTAAAATATATTAAGTCATATAGCATGAATGCTATTTCGAAATTTATCAATGAACAGATTCAAACGATTATTGATCATTTTACTAAAAATCTCACCAAAGAATTCATCGATGACCAGGACAATTCTTCAGATGACTTACCCAAAACTGATGTAGGTGAGAAAACTTTACCGAAAATTGAGGTGAGTACACTAACCATATCTCAGCCCAAGCTTCAAATTTCAGCAGAATTAGCATAGCCAAAAGCCTCCTATGCCCCTCCAAAACTCTTCCCATTCAAGAAAAAGCTATCAAAAGAGATGCATAATCCAGTTATTAATAAACTAACCTCACATTTTACCAACTCACCAAAGTTAGATAAAAATTATAGTATTGATACCGAAGGTGAGCATCAAACTGATTCCTATTGGGTTCTCAGTTCACATTGTCCACTATGTAAAGAAAATCATATGAGTTTAGATGGTAAGTGGTGGCTAGATAGTCGAAGTAAAAATACATATTATTTACATTGCACTAATTTAAAAGAGCCAGGAATTCCATACGATGATGTACTAAAAGCATATTCTAGTAATTCGGAACTGATTCAAGAGTTAAAAACTCAATGCTTCATATTACCTATCCCTTGAAATCATGTCCTTATTTTACCAGATAAAAGTATAGTAGCGGAAGCATAGTTACTGTATGACCTTGTCTATGACAAGAAATCATGATTAAACGATAATATATATATTATTATTATGTATTTATCATATCAATAAAGAGTTAGATCGTCAGTCCAAATCGCTAAGATTCTAACGCATCTCAACCGCGACTTAACTGAGGTATGACTTTTTTTTCATATAATTATATAAGAAAAATTCAACCGTGACTCAACTACAACTCAACTGAAGCATTTTGGACTAAGCGATCTTAAATGAAAATAATAATCATTATAGCACATCAAATATATAAGTGGTATGATTAGTATGAACCAAGGGCCGATCGATCTACTAGTAATCATTCACGATTTACAAATAAGTAGCTAAGCTTAATTTAATCAAAATTCGAAATTACACTTTTAGAAGTTATTTCGCATTTAAAGACTAATTTATACGAATGGCCAGATGGTGTGAATTGGTAGGGGAGATAAAGTCAGTTAGAAGCATGACGTGCCATGAATGATCTTTATTTCATAAAAACTGTATAAAAATAAAAAATAGCAAGGTCAGCGGACCCTCTTTATTTAATAAAAAATTGTTGCCGGAACGACAACAGACGAATAAAAAAAAAATAATTAAGACCCAAAAGGTCATTGCTTCGCAATCTAAATCACAAGTTCAAAATACTTCTATATGGAAAGAATGTATGAATCACTTTTTCCAAGATATATTAGAATATGATTTACCATCTTTTTCTTCTAATGCATAAATAAAATTATATATAGTACTATCTCGAATATATTTTTTTAATGAAAGTTCGAATAATTTTGTACTCCAATTAGCCATATCTATCTTAATTTGATTGCATTCTATATCTTTCTGTTGCTTAATAGTTTTTAAGGTTTCCTCAGTAGATTTAATAAATTCTTGACGTAAATTATCTGTAGCTTCTTTGATTCTAGCATTAACCTCTTCTTCAGAGTATAATGGAGCAATATTGGTATAGAGTATTGAGGAAGCTGAGCTTCGAGACTTTGTCTCTGCTTCTATTGTAGGATTATATCGAGATTTTTTATTTCTTTGGTATCTATCAACTTCATGTTTTAAAAATGCCTCTATAATAGGGCTAATACTACTGGCTTCTCTTTCTGATAATGGATTTTTTTTTCGAGTTGTAAGCCGATTCCATCCAGCTTTTATTAATGAAGGTGGTAGTTGAGTAAGAAGATATGAATAACTTTCATGAAAATCCATATAATTTTATGAAATATATTTTTATGAAATATTATAATCTTTCAAAAAAATATAAAAAGCATTCTCACTTCATGAAAAATTATAATCTTTCAAAAAAATATAAAAACTGCTTAACCATTTTGATAACAGTTACTGACTTTAGACCCGAAGGGGAGGAGGCAAAGCCTTGAGACACAGTCTCATCGAAATTTCGATGCTCTGCATCATCATTGCTATGCAATATATATTAATAATTTATATAAATAATAAATCAAATAAATAGATTATTATGAAGCAGACCCATAGAGGCAACTCAAAGAGTCATAGATATTTGGGATACACATTCATTTTAATACCTCTTTGAGAGCTTAACTCTTTAAGCTCGTTCTTCAGCCAATTCTAAAGATATTCCATTTGATATAAAATTTTTATATGCTTGTATATGCCAATGCCAATATGGCAAACTAGTTATTTTATTAGATAATATCCAATGCTTAGTAGCTATAGGGCAAAGAGCCTTCTTTTTTGATTCAACCAAAGATAATATATGGTCTTTTGATCGGATACCTACATTCTTAGCATGGAATACTTTATTACCAAAAAGACAGTTTCGATCAGTGTTTAAAATTTGATGTTCTCATGGTTCTCAGAAAACATTTAAATTTTTTTAAGAACATTAATAATTAAAAAAATGTTCTCTTATTTGAGAACATTTTGTACAAACAAAATGTTCTCAGAGAGAACATTTATAAAATTTTTTTGTTCTCATTTTTATTATTAAGAACAATAAATTATATAAAATGTTCTCATTTGTTAAATATTTAGACTTATAATATATCAGAATTTGTTAGTTTTATTAACTATAATATTAGCCACCTGATTTTAAATTACGTATATATTACAGTATTATATCCGAAAAAATTACTGGCCAAAAATTTTCTTTGGCTAATTTTTTATAGATGTTCCAGGAATAATGAAAACAGCTGTAATATTTGACAGCCTTTAAATTCTCTTAACAGGATATAAAAGGCTCATTCGCATTAGAAAAAGATAAAAATAGTTTATACAATAATTTAGCCGTCCAGGTAAAATTATTAGAGGATGAACTAGCCAAAGCCAAGTTAACCGAATGTTTGCCAGTTTTAAAGCAGAGTTTGAAACCAGTTTTTGTGTGCTACATAACAATGTTAGTTTGGGTTTTGAAGCAACCAATTTAAGCAGAATCACATTTCTAATTATTATTGTGATCTGCAATTATCCTTTACTATTTTGTTTTAATTCATAGATAACTAAATTCAGAAAATTTCTATAACCTCAATTAAAAATACTAATAATCACCCAAATCCCATAATAGGATACTCATAGATTACGCCTTTCTAAATTATTTGATCTTGTAATAATTTTATCAAATTTGGTTGCCATTTCTTTGTAGTAGTAGATTTCTTTACAAATTTAGTTTAGAATCTTATTCATAAACCTTAGTGAATAATTAATACATAATTCCTTATTTTTAGATTATCATTTTTATGCATGCAAGCTTAACATTAAGGGAAGGCAATAATTTTATTTATACTAACAGGTTTGATACAGAACCTGATTTAGCTTTTTTAAATCGTATAGGTAATAAATAAAAAGAAAATTATTAAAATCCATTTGATTAATAACAATTAGTTTAGTTGCGTCTAATATGTCAAACAAAAAAACAAAATCTGTTAATATAAATCCATTTTCTATTGCTGCTCAGTTAAAAGAAGGTTCAAATAATGATGTTGATGATGAATCTTCTAGAACTGATGAAGATATAAATAATTCTCGCCAGCTTAAAGTGCCACGATTAGCCAAAGAATCATTAAACTAGGACCCAAGTTGGCCCAAGATATATCCATGGGTTTATCGTGGAGAAGGACCACTGAAAAAATTTATGTTTTGTCATTGGTGCAAGGATGCTGGCAAAAATAATAACATTACCAAAGGTTGTAAATACTTTAAAAAACAATACTTAGATCGGCATGTTAATATTAATGACCATCGGATGGTTTGTGCTGCTCAAATGCAATCTCAAGTTAATTTACATTCCAGTTTTGCTATTCAAGCTGGAACTGATCAAATAAAGGTTATGAGAAATATGCGCAATTTATATTTTTTGATTCAATATAATTTGTCTACAAATATATTTGAAGATTTATGTAAGCTATCTAAAATTCAATATCGCGAAGAACAAAATCAATTTGAATGTGGTAATAAAACTTTAAATGTATTTGACAATAATCAACTCACTGATGATGATAATGAACGAGCCCCATATGGCAGTTATCAAAATAATGTTTCAGCATGTAAATTTATTGAATCAATTGGTCGTGTTATAGAACAAAAAATTTTTCAAAAACTACGTGATGCAGGTGGTTGGAGTCTTATGATTGATAAAAGCAATACTATATCTAATGAAAAAACTTTGGCAATTGTTTCTAAGCATTCAATTGCACCAGCAAACCCAATTTATCGATTTCTTGGACTAATTTTATTGTCTGATAATACTGCAAATACGATAGTTGCTGAAATGAACCAGTTTTTTCAAGCAAAAAATATTTTATATAATAATTTAATGCATATTTGTACGGATGGTGCTAGCACAATGACAGGTTGTAATATATATTTTTTTAGATTAGAGTAAAACTTCTAGTTAAAACCTAATTTGATTTAATTAAAATTTAGTGTAAGTTTTACTTATTATTTTTTAAAAATTAATGTTTATAATTACTATAGGCATTCACATTGGTGTAGCAACTCAACTTAAAAAGAAAAATTCATTTATTCTAGAGCATCACTGTATTTCTCATAAATTAGCATTAGCTGCTAAAGATGCAGCTAAACAAGTAGAAGAATTTAAGCTATATGAAAAAATTGTACATAGTATTTATAGTTATTTTTTACGAAGTCCAGAACGTATGATGCACCTTAGAATGATAGAAGAAAATATTGGTGATCCACATCTTACAGTTTTGAATATCATTAAAACTCATTGGTTATCATTATCTAATGTTATTCAAAACTTGCATCAAATTTTAAACTCAATAATTGATGCATTACTTGAAGATTCATATGAAAATGTAGTTGCCAAAGCTTTATATAATAGTATTAATGAAAACTTTATTATAACAACAAGTTTTTTGCTGATATTCTTGAGACATTAAGGCGAATGAATCTTATTTTTCAAAAAAATAATGTTACAATTCGTGAAGTAAAAACTCAACTTGATATTACAATTTATACCATTCAATCACAATTTCTTGGAATAGATGAAGCTGAACCAACCTGGGGAATTAATTTGCGCAAGTATATGAATGATAATGATATTATTGCAGAAAAATTACCTGTCATTGTTACAAAATTTGCACGTGCTGCAATTAAATTATTAGAAAAAAGATTTCCAAACCGAATTCAAATTGATGCATTTCATATTTTTGATCCAAGGGCCTTACCAATTGAAAATTCCAACTTTCAAAAGTATGGTGAAGATGAAATTGAAACTTTGGGTAATTTTTATGGTGAAAATAAGAATATTTCAGGAAATTTATTTCTGGGAATTTTAAATTCTGAAAATCTAACCCATGAATGGCCGTCAGTTAGATTCCTTTTAACTAATTATAGAAATTCAAATTTTTTGGAAGCATGGAGATGCATTTTTTCTGACCTTCCTACTTTTAATGAGATTTATCCTGAAATAGCGAAGTTAATTTCTATTTTAATTAATCTTCCTTTAACTAATGCTGTTGTTGAACGTATTTTTTCTCGGCAAAATTTAATTAAAACCAAGCTTCGAAATCGTATGAGTATTTTTACTTTGAATTATCTTCTTCTTATTTCTTTTAATGGACCAAAATTAGAAGATTTTAATTTTCAATTAGCATATCAAGAATGGTGTAAACTTGATCGAAGAATTAAATAATTAGAATAGCAATAATAGTTACATACTATAAATATTTTATTTCTGAGGTGCTGGCTTCG